CTGGGAGCCCAGGATCGCCCGCCGTATCGCCGTGACGCCAGCTCCGCCCTCTCATTCTGAGCTCATTCTTAACTCACTCCCAAACTGGCAGCCTGTTACCCCATCAGAAGCAACCAAAGTGATTGCCTTGTTAAATCTGAGAAAGTTTCAAATGAAGATCAATTACCACCAGGACTGTATAAGAGAAATTTGGAATAGTAGGCTCCAGTCTTAGAAGCTCTTTGTATAAACATAAATCATTTGGTCTGTATGTCTTAAGGACTAGAGCTTTGGTATTGTTGCTCTTATCCATAAAGTGACACAATGCAACTAAATAATTACTGGCTGGAGTTTAGTATCATCAGCAAACTTTATGCAAGGTATCTGTACTGAAAACTGATTGAATTGAAAACGTACTAGCAGAGAAATAGACAGTGTACAGAGCAAGCCAATCAGCTAATTACCAATGTTTTCTTTTACAACATACACTTGAGAAATGTATCTCTAAGCTGGCGGAGGGGAGCATTGTATGTGGCCCTTAATGTAAAATCCACCTTTGATTTCATACTTGAGATAAAATATGAAAAAAAAATCTGAGGATTTTTCGTTGACAAGCACATCTTACTCCTTATCCAGTGCCTTTATGCAATACATTAGATAAACACCTTGGTACACCCACATGATACCTCTATTTCGTGACCTGCACTGGTTGCTAGTATGCTTCTGATTCAAATCGAAGTGCCGGTCATCACCTATACAGCCCTATGTGGCATAGGGCCAGGTTATTTGAGAAACCACCTATCTCCCATGGTTTCTGCCTGGCCAGTATATGCTGTCAGAGTTGGTGCACTCCAGGTTCCTTTGATTAAATAATGCCATTGGAACCCAGGAAGCATCCTTTGACTGTTGCAGTACCTGCCCTCTGATATGAGATCCCCCCTGAAATTCATGTAGCTCCCACTCTGTTGGCATTCCATAAGACCCTTAAGACCTGACTATTCTCCCAGACTGTGGGTTAGGATGGATGAAGCTGCTTGTTAGATGTGTTTTTGTATATGTGTTTGTATCAAGTGAACAGATCCCTTCTTGTTTTTGTTTCATATTATGTTTTAATTGCTTAATATATTGTAAGCCACCCAGAGTCAGTTTGGAGTTGGGCAGTGCCTAAATTGAAACAAGTAAGTGCAAATTATTCAATATATGTTTGAAGATTGCGTCTATGCCTAACAATTGGAAGAACATTACTATTTTCTTATATAATGGAAAAGGGAGCAGGAGTGAATGCAAAAACTAAAAAAAGAAATTAATTTGTTAAAAATGCCTGGGAAGGTATTTGGCAGAATTCTGATTAATAGGACAAACGGTGGTAAGCAAGACTTCCCTTCAGCAAGTCACTGACAAATATACAAATGTGAGAATGGAAGTTCATTGTACATTTGTTGATTTAGAGAAAGCATATGATGATGTGAATAGGTTTGAATTATTAAATGTTTTGCATTAATATGGAGTTCAGGATTGGCTGCTGAATGTGTTAATATAATAATAATATGATGAAAGTAAAGCCTGAGTGAGAATAAATGAAGTGTTTAGCAAATGATCCCATACTAAGCAAAGAGTAAGACAAGGTTGTCTGATGTTCCTTGGTATGCCTAACGTATTTATAGAAAATGCCTAACGTATTTATAGAAAATTTATAAAATGTTTGTGGTGATGTTAGAGGTGAGTTAGTTGGGGATATAACTGTATGTGTATTTTGTATGCAGATGATGACGTCACTGGCTGAATCATTTCTAGCAAATATTAAGACTGTATAATGCTATAATGCAAGTATGGCTCAATTATGAATCTGAAAATTACTGTACCAAAGTCCAAGGAAATTGTATTTGACAGAGAAAATGGAATAATAAAATTCAGGCTATATATATAAATGGTGAAAAACTAGAGCAAGCAGATTGTGTAGCTTAATAGAATGTTTACTAAAGATGGAAATGGGCAGAAAAATTTCAAGATGGGAGAATGCTATAGAAAACTTTTGGGAATTACATGGTCTACTGCAAGGAATGAATGTTTGTCAGAAGAAGTGAAAATGATTACTTCTTCTACTGTCTACTGGAAGTGAGAGCTGGGTACATCATGAGGAACATACACCTTGGAACTCACTTATATTTCAATAAGAAGACCAATGAACGTATTAGGCTAAGTTGTTTAGTATTGGCTAATCAGTCAATAAATAAAATTCCACCAGCCTTTATTAATTCTACTGGTATGGCACATCAGCAAGGGAGTTGATGTGGATTGTAAAGAAATACTGAGTAAGATTGAATTGTTTCTTCTTTTAATGCAAGACATAGCTGTTTGTGCAACCTGCTATTGCTCATACTTACTTGTTCCTGCCCGTGGTGAATGAGAAGCATCTGGTATTGGAGAATGTAGGGAAGGATTGGCTGGTGACATTCCAGGCATACGTGCTGCTGGAGAGGGACCAGAGACCTGAGGTGAGCCTGGCCAATTCCCCGCACGCTGACTGGGTGACATCATCGTGTATGGTGAGCTAGGGTCTATTGTGCCTATGGAAATTCCAACAACTTGAAAACAGTTTTCTCAGAGAGTAATATAGTGTCAGTATTGAAAAACTACATGCATACAGAATGGTATAGCCAGAATCTATCTGAGACTCCCTACCTAAATCCAATAAAACATCCTGCTCAAGACTTGCCCTCGTAAGTTCTCACTCCATCGTAGTCAAGAGGAAGAGACTGAAAGTATCCACTTACTCCAGTTAACTGTAATTTGTCATTACATATGAACTAGGAGTTTGTTTTTGTTTTTTGTTTAAACCATGGTTTACTGAAGCAAGCCAGGAGCAAAATAAGCTACAGTTATCTGATCTTAATGTAAGCAAACATTTTTTTGTCCTGTTTGGACATTACATCAGTGTTCTAACATAACACTAAGCTACAGGCTCAACTCCAGCACATTTATTTTCAGCTTCCTGCAATTTAACATTGTAGGAGAAGAGCCGTGTTAGTCTATTTTGACAAAAAGTCAGGAGGAGTCTGGTAGCAACTTTTCTAACTGACTAACACATTTGTTTAAAAGGCATAAGCTTCTGTGAGCCGCAGCTGATGAAGTGCATCTGTATCTGATGAAGTGAGCTGTAGCTCACAAAAAGCGTAAGCCTTTTAATCAAATGTGTTAGCCAGAAAAAGGTGCTGCCAGACTCCTGATTTTTCACAATTTATAATTATAAATCACAATCATGTTGCTTTTATTTTTAATTAAGTTATTTGAACATGTAAACATCAAAATGTGTTTTATGATTCCCCCTTTCAGACAAGCCACATAGTTAGAACTGTGTACTGGTCACAGATGTTGGCTGTAACAACAAACTGCATGCAAATGAAAATAGAAGTGGATGCTTTCAATCTTTTCTTTGTGACTGGAAAAAGAAAAGCAAGATTTTGTAGGTAACATTAAAGAAAGCCAGACAAATTGTAGTAAGTATACACTTGGAAACAAATCTTCTATCTCCCTGTAACTGTGCCAGAAGAAATGGGGAGAAGGGGAAAGATTTGAGAAGGCCTATTCCTATAAAAGCCGCAGATGTTCTTTCAATACTGATATAGCATATTCACTCCAGCAAATTCCAGTTGTATTCTGAGTAAGGGGTATTTCTCCTATAATTTTAAAAGGCAGATTCACATGCAATGCATTCCAAGTAATATAATCTTTAGTAATACAAGCAATAATGTAATGTGGAAGCTTTCTATAGTCTGATAGCAACACCTAATGAATCAAGACATTTGGAAACCAACTCCTTGAAAAGTCTATTTCCTCCAGTATTTCTAGCTTGCTATGTTAACAGCTGGGTAACCCTTTTTTTTGTGTGTCAACAGCAATATTTACTAATTCTGTAGGTGTACAAGCCAAGTGTGGTGGAAAATAGTTTGGTGCTTTTTCAAGATCTGAATCCCAGCAAGAACAGAATAATGCTAGTACACTGGGTGGTATCTGAAGTATCAACTTTTTATCAATACCTATGTGAAGAGGTAATGGGCTTACCGTGGGGGCTGGCAAAGTTTGCATTTTGTCCCATTGTGATTCCAAGAGAGGAAGGAGAAGGAGTTGGGCCAAATGATGCTGGTGATGGTGCTCTTAATGCTCCACTTGGAGAATTTGCAGCATGTAAAGTTCCTAAATATAAGATTCAAGAAACAAGCAGTTATATTTTATAAATATTCCTGTTAAACCTTGAAAATACTAGTATGTGCTGGGACAACAATTTATTCAAGCACAGAATGTGGCATTTTTCATTTACTAAGGTAAAAGCCATTCAATATTATTGCCAAAGGCTGTGATAGGATGATCAGAACTCTCTTTAATAAGCCACAATATGTTATAGAAACAAACAAACAACAAAAACATTTTAGTAACTACAATTTCCTTGTTCACTGATCCTGTGGCTTAATAAGCAAAGCTATAACAAACCAATCCAGCCAATCCAGAAAGCCATTTTACCTGGTGACTGGGTGAGCATCATTGAAGGTGAAGGAGTAACAGTATTGTGGTAGGATGTGGGAGGGGATGTCAAAGGATAAGCCCCTGGTGTTCCTGTCTGTTTTGAAGACTGCTGAAATAAAAACATTATTAGATATAATAAAGATTTGATGCTTATATCCTCAGAGTCTAGTATTTGAAGTAATTTGTTCCTCAGCAACAATTCTTTCACAAGAATAGGCACTTATAGGCCAGTCTTTAACCTAGCATGTTTCAATAAGGTGGTTAAGGTGGTTGAGAGAATGGTAGTTTCTCGGTCCTCTACGGGAGGCATAGCGAACTGAAGACCTCTCTGTGAAAACGGAGCCGACAACTGCAGCAAAGACCAAAGAACTGGTGAGAAGACCAGTTCTTCAGAACCTTTCTGAATAAGGAGAAGATGGGAGATCACCAACATGTGCTCTGGACAGCTGCTCCTTGTGAGGAGACCGCAAGATTGTGGTCTTCCACGGGTTGGAGCCCCAAGAGTCGAAGGGATTAGCCATCTTGCTCGTAACCGCAGCAAAGCCTTTTAAAGGACACTAAGTTTGCAAGCCTCACTTTCTAATCACTTTCGGAAATTGCCTATTAACCATCTTAAAGCTATTAGAGACCTTCAGAATGACAAGTCTGAAAAGTCACCGGGTGAGTTTAGCTTCAACTCTGAATAAAAGAAAAATTAATTACAAGCTTAAGAACTTAAAGAATTTGAAATAAATAGCAAAAAGCTACATAAGATTTTGATCTAAGAAAGTTATAAAGGGATTAAGGGTCCTGTTAATTTTGGAATATTGATTTTTACTATAAGAGTTTGGAATTAACTATAAAAAATAAATAGCTTCTTGTGGGAACCAGAGTTATTATGGCTATCTTAGGTTATTGTAATTCCTAATAAGATAAGTGAGTTTGATTTTAGAAACTGGACACTGGAGGGGACTAAAGATTCTGGGTAGAAGGAAAAAATATATATAAGCCTGCTTTTGGTGTTGGTTAGTACTGGGACTTACAAAATGACACAAAATGTCATAACACTGGAAATATTAAATGAGATCTTTGAAGAATGGAGCCAGAAATTAGTAGCTACAATATCAACAGTGTCAGTAATGATATCTGACTCTATGGACAGATTATGTCCAAAAGATGTTAATGAGATAAGCCTGCTTTTGGTGTTGGTTAGTACTGGGACTTACAAAATGACACAAAATGTCATAACACTGGAAATATTAAATGAGATCTTTGAAGAATGGAGCCAGAAATTAGTAGCTACAATATCAACAGTGTCAGTAATGATATCTGACTCTATGGACAGATTATGTCCAAAAGATGTTAATGAGGGAATGACAGATATGGGGCAAATTTTGTCTGACAAGATAAAGTACTGAAACTAGAACTACAAATGACAGGCCAAGAGAATGATTTGGAAAAGGATGCTTTATTGGATATATAAAAGAAACTGGTTGAAGATTTAAAAATTAAAGGGGAAATACAAATGACAAACCAAGAGAATGATCTGGAAAATGTTTTCTTACTGGATCTACAAAAGAGGCTGGTTAAACCCTTAAAGAAGTCTATGCAATGGGACAAAGAAGAATTGAAGAGAAATTAAATTCTTTGACAATATTTGAATGAACTAAAGATTAAGAAGTACTACAAAGGAATATAAAGTTGGTTTATTTGATCAAGGTTAAAATAAGACTTTTTTTTTTTGCAAAGTTCTGGCAACCCTTTATGGGTTTTGCTGACACCAGAATTGAAAAGTTGATGTTTTATGGGCTTGCTTATAGATAAGGGATGGGATATGGGATGAAGAGATATCTGTTTGTAACCTTATAGGGCATGAAGAATTACTAAGTTTGTCTATACTTCTTGTAATGAAGGTTGGAAGTCACTTCTTTATATATTCTTTTCTTTTTCTTCTTGCACTTTTATTCTTTCAATTCCCTTTTCTTTAAGTTTAGTTTGTATTAGTTTTTACTATTGTAATCAAAATCCTTAATTAAAAATTATGTACAAAAAGAGAGAATGGTAGTTTCTCAACTGCTGATAGTCTCAAGAAAGCAGATTGTCTTGACCCATTTCAAAGTAGGTTCAGGGTGGGCTACGGAACTAAGACTGCTTTGGCTGGCCCCATGGGTGACCTTTGGGAATTGATAGAGGGAGTGTGATTCCACTGTTCTTTTTTACCTCTTGGTGGCTTTCAATCAGGAAGTCCCTCAAGACCTGGTTGTGTCATCAGGCCTCGTGGCCTTTGGGAACCAGAGACATTTTTAGATGGCTCCACTGTAATTGATATTCTGCTCTCTGTGTGGGGTTTGTATATATTAAAAGCTAAATTTTTAAAAATTTTGATGTTTTTATTTTAATAATCCCTTTTTATCTTTTTATAGAGCTTCTTTTTATCCACTTATTATTTTATTTAATTGTTGTATGCCACCCAGAGTCACTTTGTGTAAGATAGGTAGCTATATAAATGTGACAAACAAATAAATAAAATCAGCCATGCTATCCTTTTGGATCGCCTGAGAGATTTGGGAAAAGCAAGAATAGTTTTGTAATCTTCTGTTTCTATCACTTGGATACATTTCAGATAGCATCGCCTGGAGCCTGTTACTCCTCAAAATGGGAATTATTACATAGTGTCCTTCAAGGCTTCATTCTGTCTCCAATGCTTTTTAGTAACTATGTGAAACTATGGGAGAAACGATCAGGAGATCTGAACCTGGGTATTACCAATATGTTGATAATAATGGTGTAATTCCCCGAATGCCTGTCTGCAATTATCAGTGGACTAATCCTCACCTTAATAAACTTGAAACTGAATTCAGATGATATGGAGGTGTTTATTAATGAGGGATCATAATTCCAGAAAGGTGGTAGATCTGCCTAATCTGAATCAGATTGCACTCTTCTGAAAGGAACAGTTTGGGAATGTTTCTGAAGATAAATCTCTCCCTGGCTGAGGGAAGAAACAAAACGCTTTTCCTAAGCTTTGGTTGATAGGCCAACTTGTTTGAATCTAATGACAAAACTGTCATGCACATTTAATGGCTTGATTTGAAATTTGTTTTTACATAGACCACTGAGAGACTTTGGTAGTCAACTGAATAAATAAAATAATATGATTTTCATTTCTATAGAATGGCATTTTCCTCATGATAAAAACAAGGATGATTTATCATATACTTCATCACATCTGCCATTCTCAAAATCCCATCAGTAGCTTTTGCTTCTAAGAACCATTTTTTCTTTTAATTATTTCCAAATTAATATGGCATGTCCTCTTCCATCTTAGCCATCAGTAAATGTACCTTGAAAATTAACATCCATTCAAATCTATCCTAAGAAATACACATTTCAGATATAGCCATATACAGATACCAGCTCAGGTATAAGGCAACTATCTTATACCAAGTCAGCAGACCCAATTGCAATGGTGTGTGGGAATAACCTTGGGAGACAGGAGGAAGAGCCACAGACCAGACAATTATCAGAGAACTGGCAGCTGAGTCAAGAGAAGGAATGGGGGCATGACAAACGTCTCAGAAGGGACCCTCTTTAGTTTCTTGGACTGTAAAGGTGAGGGGGGAGAGATGTATTTTCATACTTGCAAGATTCTGTTAATGTAACCTTACAATAACATTAGAGCTAGTACTTCTGGGTGTGCTTCTTATCCGGACTACCTCACATGGCAGTCCACAAAAATCCTGTAAGTCTCCTACTCTCTTCCAAAGAGAGGCAAAAGATCCCCCTAGGAGTTTTAGGAATGCCTTCTGATCCGCAGGGGACTCCTCTATCCACTGACCACCTAGCAGCAGCATTGTTGCAACACCAGCAGCAAGTAGATGTACAAGTTATTAATTTGCAGAATGCCATGATACAACTAACAGCTGGGACACAATTTGCCTCAATGAAGGGCAGCACAGCAACAGGTAGCTCTTCCTCCTGTCTCCCAAAGTCATTCCCACATGCCACTACACCAATTATCCATCAACAGCTCTATTATCTACAATCATGTGAAAAAGAAAGTACACCCTCTTTGAGTTCTATGGTTTTTATGTATCAGGACATAATAAAAGTCATCTGGTCCTTAGCAGTTCTCAAAA